CCCCCCCTTGTGCTGGGTTTATAACGACTAACGATCATTTTTCTAATTTCATAGACAACAAAAGACCCCCCCTTGACTCGAAAGCTGGATCCGCCCCTGCATTGGAGATAGAGGCGGAATACATGCTATTGAAACGGTTAAAGACGGAAACTTTACCTGAATTTCAAAATTTATTTTTCATAAATTTGTACCAAAAAACTAGTGATTCATATTTTGTGTTAATTTTTTTTCGATAACGATCAAAATTCCAGTGTTGATCAGAGTATGTTGGGTTTAAAATATTTTTCTTTTGAAATTTATAGATGGTCCGCTAATTTTGTCCATCAGTGTATTTAATAAATAAAAATTTAATATTCTTTGATTTTATTATTATTTATATTATTGGCTTTGTTTGTGAGTTTTAATCACTAAGTTCTAACAAGAAATAAATTCAAAGTCAAAATGTATTGATCGATTGAAATCCGATTACCTCGAACACGGACAGGTTAAGTAGGATTTCCAAATCAACATTTCTGATGTCTTCATACCAAAAAGTATGTGCAGTACGACTTTTTGTTAAATCAATTTGCTGTCTATATTGAGGAGAATGTTTTGTTATTTTAATGAGAAAGAATACAAGATTGTGCATCCACTAATCTAAAAGATAGTATTTTGTCAAAACTTGGCTGGAAGGCTAAAATAAACGTTTTTTAATTGTTTTTTGCACCTAATTGTCTGTCGACCTATATTTTTTCTGTTGTTCAGAAAATCCGGAAATAGCTATTCACTGCGAATGTAACTTGTTATAGTGGAACAAATACCTTAATTTTAATAAACTCATAAATAAAGCAAGTTTTTCTTAACATTTTAATTCCGATATTGCCAAGTAATGTCAATAATTTGTTTCGGTAAATAACCAAGTGTAGCATTGTCAAGAATATCCACAAAGAAAAAGAAGAATATAATCCACAAAACCAAAACAAAAATTGATAGTGCACCATTTTATCTCATTCAATTATCTATTTAACAAACTGCTTTGAATGCTACTTGAAATTCAGTATTGGAATTTAAAGATCTCTATAACAAATTCCATTTTGTGTTGGGCAAGAAGCGATTATTGATAATCAGTTATTCGTTATTTTTTATGTTAACTGCAGCATCTATTTATTTTGTAAAATAGTCGGTATCTAAATCAAACGGAGATTTCCATTTCGGAAGCTGTTAGAATTAGAAATAAGATAGACAACTTATGTACATGTTTAGCTTTTAGATGAATCAATATTGTAAGTTTTTACCTTTACGTATACGGGTTTTTCCACTGGAACAGAAACGGTTTTGGTCACTGTGACAGGGTACGGTTTGGGAACCTCAACAGGTACTTTGACTTCATACGGCACATAAACCGGGTGCGGTACTTTCACTTCATAGGGTTTTGGCACTTCCACCTACAATTCAAATGTTTTCATGTCGTAGAAATTATTCACCGTGTAATTAGATTAATAATTCGTTGAGCTAATACCAATATAGTTTCGGAAATATTGACCTAGGAATACTTACAGGTACTTGGATATGTACTGGAACCGCATATGGCTTGGGTACTTCAACAGGGTAAGGTTGTGGTACGGGCACTTGTTTTTCAACAGTTACTGGGTATGGTTGAGGCACAGGAACGGGAACATGTTGAGTAACTGTCCTCAATTCATGCGTGTGAGTGTGAGTTTGAACATTTCCAGAAGTGTATCCAGAATAGCCGCTTCCATATCCATTTGTGCTATATCCACTTCCGTATGCATTTGTATTATATCCACTTCCATAATTACCTATATATTCGTTAGAACCTAAAATATAATATTAATGCTCACTGCTAGTGATTAAGTATTTTGCAAACCTAAATATGTTCTGACAGGTAAATTCACATTTAACCTGGAATATTTAAAGCGGATATAAAATAGAAATATTTAGCCATTTTCATGCGTTTGTCCTTATTGGCCCTATTTATACACAGGGAGTTTTTCATTTATGTTGTCAAATACAAAATTTGCAGGCTTACGTTTTGCCGCGACGATGATAAATTGGCGGATAACTTTTTGTTGCGACATTTGAATAAATTTCCTTGCACGGTCTATGCACCTTATGGAATTTGATTTTGATAATTTAGTCCATTAAAATACCGGACGGCAACTTTAGTAAAACCATAGTGTTATTTTGGAAATTTGTCACATAATTTACACGGTAAATAAATACTTGTTACTTATGATTTAATTGTTGAGTATTAATGAAGAATATAAATGTAAAATAAATGGGAGAATGCACTCTGTCCAGCATGCACAAGTAACCGCAGTTAAAAAACTTTCTCTCAACCTTCCGTTTCTGATTTTAATGTGGGCTTGTCCGAAAAAATACACAGAATCCATCCCGCAAACAAAAATAAAAACATACTTATAACGTTATCGATGGAAGTTGATTTTAATCGGTTTTCGCCGAGGTACAGGAAATGCCGCTTCTAATATAACGGAAAATCTCAAAATCTGACGACAATATTGAAATGAAATTGCTAAATGGTCGATGCGGAAAACTGACCGTAAAATAGAGCATGCACGAGCGACTATTATGATTATTTACGAAAAATAAAAGCTATAGAAGCATTAATTTGTGCAGTGCATAAGTCTTGAATAATTTTGATACAAAGTGTATTCTAAAGATCATATAATTAATATACAATTATGCTTTTGTAAAGTTTGAAATTTGTATTGTTTTTTTTAATAAATTTCGATTAGAGCGCTGTGGCAGGGATTTTCGATTTGTCACAATAGGCGGATTTAGTATGACCAAGAAAACCGTTTGTGAGGATAGCTGACCAAGACACCAAATGAAATGAAAAGTAAAAGGGATGTATATCCTATATCAAAAGGACATTTCAGACCACAGTTTAGACGTTTACAAGCAACAGCAAATAATGTTCTTAACGCAGTTAACGAAATAAAAAGGCGACGCTTATTCCGCCGCCTCGATAACGATGGTACATAAGAAAAACTGCAACTGCTAAAAATAATTTGAAAATAGAAAATAAATTTAGCCGTGTAGATATATTTCTAGTAGATTTTGACTCTTAAAACGTCTCATTTAACTTACTATTAAGTAGTATTTTAAATTAATTCAATTGTGGTCTGGTAGAAAATGAATGAAAGCAAACGTTGCAAAGAAAACTTTGAATCATTACAAAGAAAACATTGCAATGAGAAAGAAATCATGAACGTTAAATGATTAATATAATTAAAATTTTCTACTGGAAAAAAGTATCTTTGTATATTTTTTTATGAAAAAGCACAGCGAAAACTATGCATACATGAAATATTTGATGGCAAACATACCAACAGTTACTTTTTGATTAATTTTAAAATGCGCTTATCGCAATTTTCGGTGTAAGATAAAGTCAAAACCTCATTAAGTTTGCCTTTTCTTGCAAATCAGAAAGTAAAATTTGTGAAACATTTGAAAGGCTGGAATCGTTCATGGAATATAGGCGGAATCCATAAGCACAAGTACGCAAAACTCCAATTTTTGAGAAAACCCTTTAGTCAGGTAATGGTTCATTAATAGTAATAAAATATGGCTAGTGATAGAGTGACAGATTAGCTATAGTGATAAAGCTACAAGTGCTGTTTGGTCAACTTTACACATTTTTGTCCCAAAGCTTTATTATAACATTAAACTGTGACATAAGATGCAAACATCAATACTACACTACGAAAAGTGAATTGACGGCTCCAGCTTCATGCTGATGCTGATCCCTTGTTCTCAAATTTTATAAATATAAGCATGTGTACTATCGTGTTGTATGGCTATAAATTGTGTTAAATGTATACTATAGTTTCATTGGTCAATCGCTAATAGTTCTTAAAATAAAGTTGAAATACTGGGAGTCAACTTCTTTAGTTGCTCCTTTGTATATGCCATTTAGAAAATTACACCTTGTATCAAAGTCCAACTTTTATTAAAGTAATTAAACTGCTCTTGAATGTTTTAGCGTGTTCATGATGGTTAATAAATATCATTAAAATATATGAGAGAAAATAGGCTTGGATTTAAACATAATGATATGTGGACAATTTTATGTGAGGGAGAATAAATTGTCTTTCTGAGGGAGTCTCCAAAAGGCTGGGAATAAATTGGACTGTGAATTCTTTAGCAGTAAATAATATTTCCATTTCGTTAGGGTTTGCTCAACAAAGTTTTCGTTCAAGTCGCTCGAGGTTATTTTTTTAAGAATCACTATTTAAGTGTAATAATTTTTGATAGCTAGAAGAATAAAATTTTGGGCGGCGTTTAACTTGGTAATGTACTAATCGCAGTTACATTGTTGATTCACACATTATCGAGTTTCATTTATAAATAAATTTGAAAAATGATGACATTAATAATAAAAATGTTGTACCCCAAATTAAAAATAATATTCTTGAATGCACTTTTCCAATGCATCTTATTTAACACTGTAATTTAGAAAAAAGGCTCGAAGAGTCTAACTTATAAGTAAGTAAAACGTATTGTTTTGTTTGGTAAATATTTGTCATTATGCTACGTTCTGAATTCACTTTAAAATATTATATGTTGTGAGCCTGCTTCTAAAAACGCCACTTAGGTAATATTTGCTTGATGTTAGCTAGACATTGAGTAACTCAGAAAACTTTATTTTTCAACTTCTATTTAAAACAATATATGATCGAAAATTTAAGTAACGTAATAAACATATCAATAGACTACGTTCTCAAGACATTTTTTTATTTGATTATCATTTATTATTCATATTTTAAAGGTTAAACAAAAAAAATTACATAATTAGCAAGAAATATTTAAAAACTAATTTGGTATTAATAAACCACTAGTTTTCAGGGACCGTTTATATGTTAGTAGAGCGAACCTATTAACAGGGACAAATAAGATAATAACGTTAAAAATTTCTTTAGAAATAATGAATTATTAAAATTCTTCGCAGTGTTACCAAGGCGATTCGAGTAAAGCAATTTTGAAAAAAAATTCTACGACTGTCAAATCGCTACAATCTTAGAAACTTTAATTTCATGTTAACTTACTCATGTCTCTTTATAAATAAAATGAAGTATTTCTTTAAATAATTAGAGTTATTGTTACTGGCTGAGGTATATTATAATATATCATGCATTAAAAATCGGTTACTCTATGCGTACATCATTGGTATTTAATGAATAATTAGTTGCAATCAATACTAAATTATAGTGCCGTTCAACTGATTCATGATCAACAACTGATTAATTATTAGAAAATAAAAAAATACAAAAAAATTGCTTTACTCCAACTATTTTTTTATTTTTTATTCTGTTGATGAACTTAGACATATGTACCTTCAGGGTCAACAAAATATTCAAAAGTGACAATAAATGCGGCTAACTCTGCCTAGATAACGACTTTAGCAAATCGTTGGTTACTTTAAATTACGTTGGTTAAATAAGAAAATTATATTTAATGTTTAACCATTATCAAGTGTACGTATTATTGGAAGACGATATCAATAAGATTAATAGTGAATATTGAAGAAGTAAAATTATGTTCTTGTGTATCAAATATGAAGCGATAGCTTTAATTTCCGGAAATTTATCTGACTTGATCTCTCAATTGTTTTACGAGTAATTAATTTGCCGAAAAATTAAAGAACTGGTTCGAGCCATTTGGTTTATTTTTAAACTTTAGCTAGGAGGATCCCGAACTTTCGAGATTTTAATTTTTTTCATTTGCCGCCCTTTAGACAATTTATCTGAGACGCTTGATTTTTACCAAAACATTCACTAACAGAAAACAATTGGCTAAATAATCCTTCAAACAGATACCAAACCGATCTAAGAAATCAGTATTTATCCAGTTCCAAAGTTAGGGAAGATTCGGCTGTGTAACGTTCATTTTGTTGACCAGTTTATAGGGGCAGTACTCAAGTAGAACAGATCTAAGAATTAACCTGTATATCGATTCGTTTGCCTATTTTTTTTGTTGTCACGCATATTTATTCATTTAATAATTTATTTGAATCTAGATTCACTAAAGCATAATTAGGTATTTACTCCTGTTAATGCAAAAGATCTAATTGAAACGAGCAGACAACAAAATTAGATAAGTTCTAAATGGTTAAGACGGATCCATGATTTCAAATCCTTTTTATTGGGAAGAAGTGTACTATTCTTTTTTTAAGTTACTTTGATAATTATTTCTTTCGTTAATGAAGAATGTTATAATTCCTTGTTATCGCGTGGAAATGCTGTATGTTTAAGTGACAAAATTGTGTGGCGAAAAACTCAACAGAAGCAATAAAGTAATATTATTAATTCAATTTAAGTGATATTAATCCAATTGCAATTGATATTGTTATCATTATTTTATATTGCAATATATTGAATTACAAATGTTTAAAGCTCAACAAAAGTCGTTGAACTGCGATTCAGCTCTGAAAACCCCTTTTGTTCAAAATAATAATAACTAAAGCAACAATGGGAAATTCACTTAACTGCACTTTTAAATCTTGTTTTTGAATATTTAGCTTTATGCCTTTACATCTTACATCCTTAAATTTACCTCCAGCTCCAGAAGAATACAATGCCAAGTTTCCACTCAAAGCTCCTTGGTTGGTAGAAAAATCTCCATTAAGAGAATTGGCTGAGCCAAATTCGTAAGCACCAATGCTACGCTTTTTGGCTACCTTGGCATCGTTGTTTGATGTGGGTGCAGCTTGAACGAGTACTAAGCTGATTGCAACGAAAGCTGCAAACTGGAAAAATAAATCTTAAGTAAAATATTCCATTTCAAAATTAGATCGATTTTCCAAATTTTCGGTTTTGTAAAAGAGCAGCTGGAAAAGTAGTGAAATGTTAATATTAATTGAATACTGCCACTATGAAAAAATTGTGATAGCAGATCTTAATTAACAGCAGATGTTTGCTATATTGAGAAAACTTAATATCAGTGTATATGGCTCACCAAAAACGTCTTCATCTCTTCGGCTTTTTGGTTGATTGACCCGTTTTATACGAAAATTATGATTTTATATGGAAACTAAGTAATTTTTGAAGGACAGTATAACCTGCTATTCGGGTTTTCTTTTGGGAATTCCACCGAATATTCCAAAGTGTAGGTTTATTTCCATTAAAAAGATGGGCAGACATATGTTGATTTAAATCTATTAATGCAATCATTATAATTCCTTAAATAATATAATTTAATTACTTGGAATTGCCCGCCTTATGATATATTATTAGAACCTTAGAGATTATATAATATTATGCAGAGTGCGTGTTAATCAGTAACGTTATTTACGACGCTATTGATTTTCTTGGGGTGAATGTGCATATAAAAATCCTGATTTCTACATACAACTGCCATTATTACATTGTTACACTTTAAAAGTTGCTATTTCTAAATTTCGATTAACATTTGGTCGCGAAGAAAAAATTTGGAATATTTTTATTGATTACCTGTTTGAAATTTATTTCATTATAGTTGAAAGTTTAGTTAAGGCAAATTTGCAATAATGGGAGTAATCATTAGTATTTGTATAAGAGTAAATAATGTATGCGGGTAACTGTGCTTTGATTATGGGTTATTAAATAAGCTTCATTTCTATATTACGAATTAAAGTTTTAAACCAGTGTAAAACTAAATCAGTTATTACCTTCGTATCCGTTATCCTATAAAGATATTTGCAAGACTAAAGCATATAACTCTCATATCTTTGTCCAGTTGACTGCCCATTGAATAACTTCCTTTTTGAAGTCAATGAATTAGCCGTATAAGTCACAATTATGCTCACTGCGTCTTCATGCCATGTAAGTTTACATCTTTTACCCTCCTTTATACAATACAATACAATTTTACAACGTGTAGCGTAATAGCTCCCTTCCCTTATTTCGAAATCGTCACGAAACGTAAATTGTGTCCTGGTAAATAAATGTCTCGTAGTCGTCTTTGAGCACGGTTGTAAATTATTCGTGAAAAAACTTTCCAAATTTGATTAAGTCAATCTCGTCTCTTGACTCTTTTCCCCAACATCATATTGTGTCATAAATGCAGTTGACTAATCTGATTTGGAAGTGGATAATTGGCATAATTTGAAAGGAAAGCTTTTTACAGTCTTGTCTTTAATGTCTTTTAATTTTTAAAAACATATTGTCCTTATTGTAAAACTTTTTAAATACACAGCGAAGAATCAACATAATCAAGCATTTGTTTTGCAACTGTTCATGCCTCGTCTGCTTTTAATCCTGAGTCACGCTAGAATTGTCTGCATATCATATTTCATAGGTACAGCTTCATTGCTACAGTCATCATAAATTATAATTACAAAATATCTTGCAGGAGCACAAGTAGCAACTATTTGTTTTTGTTACTATGTATTTCTGTTGTCAACGTTTAGGTACTTGAGCGTTGGTTACGCACAATCTATTGTTAATTGCTCCATCATAGGTTGTCTATAGGAAACATTAAGTAATTTTTTTCAAATTAGTGTGTTGTAGAATGTACATCTACATAAATGGAACGCATTTCTTTAAAACTTTGTCCAATTTTCAGTTCTACTTTATATGATTCGAGTTCTACTTTACAAAAGTATCCTCCCTAGTAAGATGATCTTCATTGATTACTCAATCAAATATCCAAATAAAACAAGGGAACTAATCTAGTTGCGTCTAATATTGGTCTCAACAATTCAACTTTGAATGATGATCATTAATTAACCGTATACTCATTTGGATATTTAAAACGTACAAAAGACCTGAGCAAAAGAGCGTATATAGTATAAACCATGCTTTATTTTATGAAATACTGCGCTGTAAATGTAACGCATAGCTTAAATATTATCTACATTTCGAATACGAATATTAATATAATACGAATACAATCGGCAATCAGATTTAAAAAATTCTATGATCGAATCATAGCTCTATTCTTGGGCATAATTCAAGTTATAAGGTAAGCAACAAAATCTAGTAACTAAACAAATTCAAATTCAAAATATGCTTTATTGACACAGAAAATCGGAAATACGTTTTCTGGGCAAAGCGAATGATACATGAAAATAGACACAAAAAACGAAAAACAACAATACAAAGCATAAAACAGCAATATAGTGAACAATGCTATTCAAATCAATACAATCAGTAAGTCTTAAATACTCTCAACATCCCAGCAAGAAACTGAAAGTTTGTTTCTGTTGCAAACAGAACATGACGGTATTGTTTGGAAAAAATAGTTAAACAATGAACATCCAGTGTAAATGGTAATAAGTGAACTCGGCCATAGTTGGATTTGGCACTGCTTGTAAAATACTAAATAATGATAAATAATATCGGGTATCTCAGACAGAAAAACATTATAGCTTGTCTTCTGAGTAATTCTTAGTTCTGAGTAATAGTATAATAGCTTGTCTTCATTTTGAGCCATTTGAGAGATATTCATTTTTATATTTTCCGCCCGAAACTTATTTTAACTTCTTTTTTAATTCCGAGTAAGGCTATGCAGACAAAAATGTATTACAAGCTTACCTCTATTTATTTTATTACTTATGTAACTCCATAAATACAAAAAATAAAGAACAATATTATTTGGCGTGAAAACAAGAATACTTTATTTTTAGGAAATACAAACTTTAACACTTTATTACAGGCACTTAAATTGTCGTGGCACGGAGAGTGGCAAAATACGCAGTAAGTAAATTCTGCAAGAACAATGTGACTGGTTAATACAAAACAATACAAAATTATAAATAATATCAATGCAAAATTATAAATCTCTAATGATGCCGGAGAACAGTCGATCAAAGATCCAAATTACTGAGAAGATCTATTAGAAGATTACTTACTACTTACTATATCTACTAGAAGATTATTATAACATTGTATAATTTTTGCTCTCTAGGCTTCCCCATATTACTCGCAGAAGATTTAAACTTTGGCGAAGAAAACATAACAGTATTTAAACACCGTGTACAATAAATGTATATAAGTTATTGCTTAACTTATAACTTAGCTTTTGTCCAAAGATACGACTATGAATTGATACAAAAATATACAAATTATTTAGCCGACTAAGAAGCTATTAATAGTCGTTAAAATTATTTACCTATTCATCTGATTCGTTGCATAATTTTCCTCGAATAAACAAACTAATAACTGCCGACAATCACTATTAATTGTTTATTATTTTCAGGTAAGTTTATTATGAATGCTCAATGGCCAACGCATTCGACCTCCTCCTAACCGGGTCGAATTAAATTCGAAAATAGGGCTTAGACGCTTTAGTTCAGGTAAATACCTATATTTAGTAATTTGCTATCGAGTGAAAAACAATGATAAATCCCAATTTTCGCATGATCAATGGTGATTTTAGGTCAATCAAAGTTTTAGTACACTAATGAAAATATACTTATGGTCGAGTTTTATAAAGGTTATGCTTCAAAAAATTATACCAATTTTAAGCTAGAAGTTATTTAGGTTTATTGATTTTTGTCATAAAACTGAACGGATTTCCAATGTTTGTTCCAACGATAGTGAATAAATGCCATCGTTTTTAACCCATCTACAGAGTGTCTCACGGTCAGCGTCCATTAGAATATTTCTGGAAATAATGCGATATGAATCCTGCAAATTTGCATAATAGACACTTTGGAACATTTCGGACACACTCTTTTTAGATGAAATAACAGCGATATTCTGCGACTTCCGGTTATATCGAAAGTGGTCTCAAACTTACTTATTTTAAATGGGACACCCTGTATAATGTTTTTTTGTGTTTCTTTTTTCATTTCCAATAGCTTTTATTAAAAGTTTTTCTACTCTACTTTATCCGTTTCTGAGCAAAAAACAGTTTTTATCAAAATTTTACCATTAACAGGGTGTCGCCTAAAGTAAAAAAACATTTTCAAAAATGAATGAATCAAACTCAAAATTTAGATATTACGGGGCTCGATAATGAATTATAGGAAAAAGAAATTTAGATACAGCATAGTGGAAAAATAACAACAATTATTTTAAATACAAAGATACGTTGCTATTAGAATAAAACTATAATCAAAATGCTTTTAATATTATCAATATAAGTTCAGCTATATATATTATGGACCACAGTGTACCATAAAGCTATATTGCTTAGGCAGCATAATTTTTTGTTTATCGCGAGAGCGACCTTTTTAGTTAGTCGTCGTCAAATTGCTGCTGATACAGAATCGTTTTCGTGTTCGGAAATCTACTTTTGTACTGTGTTGTTCTTTATCATTTATCAATATACTTTTATTCATACATTAAGAGTGTGTCCACTTTATTTCACCAACAGTTGCTGATTCATTCAATAGATATGCTAAAATATTTCCTATCTATCCACATATGGTGTCCCTATACCTAACTCGAGTAGTTTTAGGCTTATTTACGGTTTTGTTCTAATTGCGCTAACGTTTACAAAATTCAGCTGGATCAAGTTGGTCAAATGTTCTTCTGATTCGGGATAGTAGTTCCCCCGCTGAATCGAGGGGAGTACAGTAAATTATTTGCTTTATTGTTCCCCAAAAGTGGTGTGGACAAAGTGGTAAAATATTAGTCATAAAAATATTGATGACCTTGTTTTTTTATGTTTCAATTCCAGTCTCGGGTCTCGTAAAGCTTTAGTCAACTTGAATAAAATAAATGAGTAGCAACTCATCAACTCAGAGAGCGGCAATGACTCAAATGCGCGACTCAACACATTGTTACCCAGGTCAGGATGGGAATCACGTACTTCGTGAAAATATGTTAGCTGTATTCACCTTTTAACGTTCATATTATGTGTTGTTTATCGAGCTGATGCATTGTCAACGATTCAATATCATTTTCTAAAGCCACGATGCAGAAAATTACCATCAATAAAGAGAGATCATTCCTATAATCCTTCGCGACAACAGATGATCAGTTTTTCTAGTTGAGTGCTTCCTTCTCTCATGACATGAAGGCTTGAATCACTCCGTATTCTACAATAATGACTATTGAGAGTATCGTTCAAATAAAATGCTCACTCATCACTAAAGCAAATGTTGAACAGCAATCGGTGCTGATTGGTAATCAAAACTTGCATCGTCCCGCAACATTCAATTCTCCTGTCTGGAGCAACTTCATTTAATCCCTGATGAAGCTGCATATAATATGGATGTTCTGATTCTGTGCAATTTGAAAATTTTTCGAACCGATTGTTGTCCCGTTAAAAATTGTCCGCAAACTTCTATTTGAGCAGGTTCATCTAAAATTCTAGATCACTTTTTTATTCTCCAGAAAACAATTCCTTAAATTTCTGTTTTATCTTCTTAATATAAGTTCTTTAACGCTTTGATCCGGAATGTCGCTGATGCAATACCTATTTGTGCGGTTTATAAAAGGCAACGTTCCTCACCCCCAATAAATAAGACAATTTCAATGCGTATCGCAATTGCATAAACTGCTTGTATTTAATTTAGTGACAGAAGGTCATACTTTTGAGCTAGGAAATAATAAAACAGCGACATTTGGTAGTGGCTAGTGAGTTAATCATACTCTCAATTATCTTGTTGACTTGTTTTTGGAATTTATTGTTATTGGCATAATTTTCGACATATTGGCACTTATGCCTAAAAAAACTCGCGTTGAGTGCTGGAAATTTTCCTCAGATTATTTGAAAATAAAAGCGCAAATGACTTCTTCCAGACAACTTTTCATATAGCTGTGGGCTCTCATAACTACATTAATTTTCAATTTCTCGATCAACATATCGAATTATTTTCCTTCAAATATAGAACTGTGGTTTCTTTTTTGTACTACGTTTGAGCACCTTTGTTTCACACGTTGTACACCTTTGTTTCAGAAAATATCGTAAGTCACCGCTCGCACGTACTGCTAAAAGTGAATTTTATGTTTGTATGGAAAATAAAGATTCTGTAATAACTGTAATACTTTGATAACGTACCGAATATCGCTGGAATATTCCGAGCGGTTTCAATATTATTAATTGATATGCTTTTTTCTTTATAAAAGTTCATAGCGGAACAATTTTAAATCCATTGCTTATATATAGAGCAAGTAATGATTCATTTTTCTTGTAGAACTTTCATAGAGTATGTTTGGGTTAAAAAACTCTTCGCGTAAAATATGTTTGTTCTTTTCAATTATAATTTTTTCGTTAACTTTCATGTTGCTAAATTTTAGAAGATACCATTAAGACAAATTTAGAAAAAAATCTGGCTACTGGTTTTCACTTAAAATGACTTAAAATCCGTCTTTACCTACTTTTCTTGCTCTGCGATACCGATGCGTATAAAATGCAAAAAAAAAATAAAAATAAAAAATATAGCCTGGAATATTCCCATAAAAATTCTGGCTTAACCATTTTATTAACAATCGCTCAAAGCTGAAAATATACCTACCGACTGTCATTGCTAAAAATATTAAATTTAATTATTATTTTTACTAAACTTTATTAACTAGGTAGTACTTCTTATTGACTGGATAATTATAAATTTACCCGTGGTGTAAAGCCAAGATTCTTTGAGATTGAATGATTAATATTAGGTACCTATATCGATTTTTTTACACTCCTGGTATTGCATCAATAAAAATCGGTAGAAATGGATTTTCTGCAATTTTAAGCGAGAATCAGTCGAAATTTGTTTTCCGTAAAAATTGCTCTTTTGGTTCTCTTTGAAATTTGACAACACCAAAATTTACGTAGTCCGCAATGACTACAAATATACATTTGTATATTATTTTGCATTTACAAAATAAAAATAATAACAAAATATTAAAATCACTTGCTAGTAGTCGACTGCGCATTTTGATTACCTACTTAAAGCATACGAAAATAATTGAAATTGAACAATAAATAAATCTTTTTCAAAGTAATGTTATAATGTATCTGTTGTAGTTAGTTCTTCACCTGAATACACTGTGTATATGTATATCAATGAAAAAATACCTCTCATAAAGTTGGGACATTAATATGTCATGCAGAATCTCTTTATGCGAATTTCGTTTTAATTATTTACTGCGGGTGTAGATAACGAATATCTATGTATAGGGCTGGTCAACTTTTCAATAGATTCATAAAACTTCGGTACGAGTACAAATCTTTTTATTTAAAAATGCGAATGCTTTGAGTTGCTCTATTAACATTTTATTTAACATAACAACAACATCATGTCTTTATTCATTAAGAAAATGCTATCGACCATTGCCGTCTTTCCTCTTATTTAACATATGAAACCAAATAATTATATAAACTGTTTGATATTTCGATTCAATTTTGTCTTCCTGGCACTTTTATAGTTAAGGGTTTTTTGGTACAATAAAAGGGAAAGGGGTTTTATCAAGCGAATACCACTCCACTTTATATGCAATTAGAAGCATTATTTAAATTAATATTTGAGTTTATTTTAATTTAAAAATAATATTATAGGTAAATAAATTCGCGGAATAGAATGGATGCGTCTATGGATATATCTGTGTATAACTCCATTTTTATTGTACAGGGTGTTCGAATAATGCGTTAGGAAATTTTAAGGATGATACTACATGCGGAAATAATAGTAGTAGTTCATATGACAAAAATTCGAAATTGAATACTTTCCGAGTTACAGCTCATCAAATTTCATTTTTTTTTTAAATTTTTGATCCATTCTGCACATTTCTTCGCGGATCAAATTGAAAATCGTTACAGAGTTTCAGCTTAGTGATTTATAACTTTCTAATAAAAAAATGTTTCTTCATTTTGCCACTAGATGGCACTTGGCATTAAATCGGCAATTTATTTCCGCATAACTTTTTTGACACGCCAAATATCGCGAAACGAAATATTCTCTTCGTAACCTCTTCGTTTACGAGCAAATCGACACCAAAGTTTTTATCACTCTCAAGCCTGTATTCTTGGATTTAATTGCTGTCGCAGCAAATCAAGTCATCTGGTTTAAAAATGTGCAAAATTTGACAATTTATAGTACCTAATTATTGTATTACTGTTCAATTTTGACTAAATTTTTGTGTTGCATTTGAGTGCAGCACTTGAATATTCTTTATTGGCCAGTGGGGTCGAAGCCTTAACTTTTGAATTCGTGAATTGTCGATAAAAATTTGGCTAGTTTAACAGCTAAACAGTTGCCTTCACCATATATACAGAAAATGCTTAAATGTACTGAATCAATTTCCGCCTGAGGTTTTCTAGCTTTAAGATAAGTACTTGCTTTTAATTTATCATTTTATTATTATTAAATTGAAATTAAAATATTAAATAAGCCAGCAGAGGTAAAATTTGCTGTATATATTTCTGTGCTTATATAAAGATAAAAGCTTTGGCTCTATATAGAGCGTTAGTTCGAGAGCCATCTCTTAACCATGAGGTGCAGTGAAGAAAATCGGGCGGCGGGCATTTAAAGAGCATCTACCGATAAACTTCGCCGTTTATCCGTTAGATGGCCACCAAATAGAAATATCACAAGGTGGGACTGGTATCAACGTTGCCACTAATTTTCTGGGGTTTCGGACCAATCGTTATAATATTGCAACTAACAACTGATCGCTTCATTGTGTTCATGATTCCATATCTGTTTCAGGTACGTAACTTATTGCAATGTTCAGTTTATGCTTACTATTTACTTTTCGCTAGATAATGCGTTGTGTTTTGTTTCTGTAGGCTGCTTTCTCTCTAAAGGATATTAGATTTCCTGCTCACTTTCGCAACTGTGTATGACATTTGTCAATTCAAATTCGAAAGTGAGGTTACCAACTTCAGAATCGTAAACATTGACGGCAATTTTTGCGATTGAAATCTATTTACCATCATAAACGAATTGTTGCTGTATTACCAACTCCGAAGTAAGTACGTTTTAGTAGTTGCATTGCCCAAGTAACGAAAGTTGAGTTTTTGTGTTTCAAAGTTTTTAATCGATCGGATCAAACCATGGGGTTTGGTTAAAGTTTTATGTATAAAGTTTCAGGAGAACTTATCGTTTGAGATTTGCGGTATTCCAAGTTTTTAGTTCTTTTAACTGAACGGACACTTGATATGATGTTAAGCAGAATGTTACCATACATTTCTGTAGAAACACTTACACATAGACTGTCCCAAAACGATGTAATCACAGGAAAATTAGACTGTTGGGTGTTATTTGCTGTTAAATTGTTTTTTTTTAAGTTGCGGCAGTTTATGTCTCGACAAGGACTCGACTGTCTCTATAATTCATTTAACTTTTTAAATGTCGCCCATTGATTGAGGCTATCTAGCCCGTCGATGGGCCCAACACAGGTTATTTTTTAAACAAAGAGTGGGTAGTTATTCTTTAATATTATCTACTCTTTTAAAATTTCTTAATTAAACTAAGTGATTTTTTAGCTTAAACACGGTGATTATAGTGAAATAATGTAAATGTTTATCGGCTTAACTTCGAAAGCTTTCAAGATGGTACTGGAAGACGGTTCATAAAATACTCAACAGCTTGTATCGATTAAAACAAGGTGAACGTAGTTTCTTATATTCTATGACTATGGTGATTTTACGCCGTGTCAATAGATAATTCTTTCCACAGTGTCCACAGCTTACAATTGTTTCCAAATTCTCAGTTTCGTATTCTTATTTTTCCTTTCTCGGAAGACGGGCTAACATCAAAACATTTTAGGTCTTAGCCACTTTCTGATGGTTCAAACTCACTACTGTACCATGCAAAAGCATTTTTGCCTTTCGAATAGTCAATTTTATGTTTGTTATTTGGTATTTTTTCAAATTTATTTTTATTTTGCCAGCTCTTATTATCGCATAAATATTTTATTCAGGAGTAGTGGGACAGTCTCCACACATAAGAAAGATGACATGTTTTGTCACAGAATAATGCTCAAAATTGAAAACATAAAAACAAATCAATTCTGTCGTTGTGGTAAAGAAACACAGGCGGTCCACTCGGGATTCAAATTGTTTATGCACCGGGAACGAGGGTTTCAGAAAATGGAACAACGACTCACCGTTCGTATAGTGGCATTAATGCGTAGGTACCACCAATAGTCGTTGCACGATTGAAAACATTCAACATTTTTGCCACGTTCGCCACAATTTACCTGATTTTTTTTAATTGTTTAACGTACAAAGTGATAATTCACCTGTTAAACTTGATCCACTAAGTACTTACAAGTAGCGCAAGTTACAACTTCAATATCAGTACAGTAACAAAAACCAACCACAAAAACTCGACTTTGGAATAGTTGAATCAACCTTTCAATACGAACATAATTTTTTTTGCAACGCATAATAATAATTTTCTTACTTTGCAGGTCATGGCCGCTATGAATGTTGCGAACTATCTCCAAATTGTAGATAGATCTTGGCGGTCAGCTAATGGACATACGTTGTCAGGGTATTTGTCGATTCGTCATGAACATGCAAAGCAGCGGAATTTTCATATCGACAGTCCAGAAAACATTGTCTGCAAATTCCTACAAGGGCCTCTTGAAGAGCTAGTAATTTTCCATTTAAAGTGTTTGTATGGGATTAGTGTTGGAGATCTCCTGACTGCTTATCAATCGCAAACTTGCCTTGTTCAAACGTTTATAAAACTACTACAAGCACAAAAAGATGAAAATTGGTGTTTGCCTGTGATGTACTCAGTTTGTTCAGATTTGAGGCTAATTGCCCAACAGGCAGAAAAGCAACGTACTGGTGCAACAGAAAAACCTGGAGAATATTTAGAAAAAGCTGCGGAATGCTTATTGGCATGCTTCAGAATTTGTGCTGCAGATAACAGAACTGATGACCGGGATACGAAACGTAAAGGAATGATGGGCCTGGTTAATCAACTTTTTAAAGTTTACTTCAGAATTAATAAACTTCATCTTTGCAAACCTTTAATTAGGGCTATAGAATCTAGTCCATTTAAAGACTCCTTTTCATTAAGCCAGCAGATTACCTATCGTTATTTTGTGGGCCGAAAAGCTATGTTTGATAGTGACTACAAAGCAGCTGATAAATATTTAAGCTATGCTTTTGAAAATTGTCACAAACTGTCCCGAAAAAATAAAAGACTAATCTTAATTTACCTTGTTCCTGTAAAGATGCTTTTGGGTTATATTCCGAGTAGGAACGTTTTGGAAAAGTATGACGTTTTGGAATTTTCCGGCCTAGTTGATGCTGTCTGCCAAGGCAATTTAAAAATCTTTGACGAAATCATGGATTACCATGAGTCGTTTTTTATTGACAGTGGTATCTATCTCATTGTGGATAAATTGAAAATTATTGCGTATAGAAATCTCTTCAAAAAAGTGTATTTGATCTTGAACAAACATCAGATTCCGGTAGAGTCGTTGCAGACTGCTTTGGAATTTCTCAACCAAGATGTTGACTTAGATGAAACAGAATGTATTGTTGCCAATTTAATTAATGAAGGAAAAATTAAAGGCTATATATCTCATCAACATAGAAAAGTTGTCGTTAGCAAACAAAATCCTTTTCCATCACTTACATCAACGTAGACGGTTGTAGATTTAATATTTAAGGTACGTTTTGATTTGTATCATTGTATTATTTAAGAACTTTATTGTTTGTATCATGATGATAAACGATTTATTTACTAGAGGATATTTACTTTAGCAGTTCCTTTGATTTCCCCAGTGCTCGTTTCTTTGCCTGTAACTGGTCAGTCCATATTGCTCGCAAGCAGCACGAACAAACAAACGCAACAAATGGATGATTGATACCATCGATTAACTAAGTATGATTGATACAAATCATATTAGTCGTGTTTCAGCCGTTCGCCGACTTACTCTTGCTTAAAACCAAAGACAAAGAATGAATTGACCTGATTTTAGAAACCTCAAAAGCACGGGTTCGGTCGAGAAGCAGTCAATTTTTGTGGTATCTTCGCTTTGCAATGGTTCCAACACAGGCTGCAGCTCTTAACAGTAATTTACCATTCATGTTGAAACCATAAGAGCGCAAACACAGAACGATCATGTGTACAATTTTTCTTGCGAATGAAACGATCTTAATAAATAGTACAAACACAAAGAAATAACTGCATGAAAACAGTAATAAGCCCCTGAGTGCGAACGAACTCATGTGCAGGAGCAAAAATTATATTTTTTTTTGTGAATAGGTACATGGTGGGTATGTAGTTTTTTCTGAAAAATATGGAAGTTGCCTCATTTAGGGGCAACTTTACAGTACCCGCGTAAATAATGATACTCCCATTTTATTTTTTGAACCTTAATAGTTATTGTCACAAAATTTGGGACGCGCACATAAGATCAAATTGCCCATCTTTTGACATAAAAAGGGCTGCTGAAAATGCCAAAGTCACAGTTTTACGCCACTTTCGTTTATCTTTCGTAATGGAATGGGTAGTCAAGTGACACCTTCTTTGGAAGCTCTGTACATCCTCATGTCAACCTTCAATTTGTTGATTATTTGTTTCAGCAGTTTTCGAATGACCGATTGCCAATTAAATATCTGATGAGTATTCTATCGATGTACAAAATTGTTTTTGTATCTAAACCGACTCCACCTTAATTATCACACACAGCAAGGTCTACCCAGATAATTTGAAACTTTATAAAATATAACTTTTAAGAATTCGATTTTATTAAATGTTTAAAAATGGTCAACATTGAACTATAACTAAAAATTCGAGCGTCCCGTATTTAAATGCATCACACTGTATGTACTTAGCGGAAAATCGGTAAATAATATTTTTACTGTAGTGAAAACCCTTTTAAATATATTCCTTTGGTCATTAAAATCGCTTTTTTTATTTATGAATTAAAGAAATTGTTTTCTACTTGTTTGCTAGTGATTGGTTATTATTTCCTCCAAAAAACGCCAAAAACATTGTCTGATTAGTAGGAATTGACCGATTTAAAATTATAAAAACAATGATCTTAAATTATCTTTTTATAATCTAATGAATTAAATTTTACCCTTATTGAGATTAATTCACTCTTTGTTCTGAGGCGACAAGTACAGTCGCTATTGTTACTTAGAAAAATTGTATTATTCTCGAAAAGTGACAACAAGCCTATCTACTTTGCTATAAAAGTTTGGGAAGTCTTTTTAAAGGCGCCTGAGTAAGATTAATATTTGCCAGTTTCACTTTCCCAGTAGATTTATGCCCCACTCTAGGGAAAGGCAGACTCAGAACTTTTTTATATAAATAAATCCATCCAGAAATTCTCATAGTTAAGAATATTGTCTCTTGTTCCAGTCGAGAATTGTTTTCTATTTACTTCCCAGTAAGGAAATGGTAATAGTGAAAACCGCCCCAAGGTTGTAATAAATTGCAAATTGCTTTATATATACCCGACTTGAAACTGTTGTTTTATGTAATAGTGCCTATCTATTTGATGGAAAAATGGAAGAAAGCGAAGTTTGCTTGGCGGAAACGCTGATAAATGTTCCAAATATATTCAACTTGGTTTTATGGATGCTTAATGGATAACTTTGTAAACAGTTACGGTTAAAAGACTTGTCACACAAAGCTGGTTCGACCATATTTTATTCAAAGATAGGTTTGTTTTTCTATTTTAAAGAATCCTAAATGAAAATGCTCAAATTTTATGTTTTGAGTAAGTTAGTTAAGTTATCCAAAGTAAATATTACCGAATTAACTGTGGATAAATAGCCTGGACGATTTACGAAAATCGTTTCACACACTTCTTTAAAATGTCCATTGAATTTCAGACTTTCCAGTTTATGGTAGGACAATGTTTAATGATAGATCTACATCTAATCGTGTGCTAATAAAGATATAACATTAAATCCGTGTCACTTTAAAAACCATCTAAATACTTAGTGGCTTTTCGGTTTGGAGGCTGCAAAAATATTTGACCTATTCATTAGCTTTCTTCTAGATAAATGTGCCGCAAACAAGTTGAAACTCTTTGAATGCGAATAAAGAAAATTTCCGAGAAATTAAGTCGCTTTGCATAATCGTCCAGCTTTAGGGCTTGAGCTTTGCTAATTTTTAACAAATGCTCTGAAGATTTCTGTCCTTGCCAATTGCCTCTAAACCAGTGGTTCCCAAACTTTTCTCGTGGACAACTTTTAAAGTTTCACTATTTTCGGTAGACCCCCTGCTGTTACATTTCTACTATATTCCCACAACTCCTCAAAAATATCACCCCCAATTGGGGGTGTTAAGAAGAAAGTGTTAAAAAGAAAAAAGTATCATATTGTAGGGTAAAATTTATTTAAATTTAGTTAACTGTGCGACTGGTTGCCTAAACAGTGGGTTGGCTTCACACACAAAAAAGCATATGACTAGGTAAGATAGAAAGAGACGGCCGTATGTTTGACGTTTGACAAAAGACGCCGGTTTCCGGATCAGAGGAGTTCGTTGTACTCGGGGATGATTAGGGGACGGACAGGAGGTCAAAGCGACGTAGTAGACGAAAAGACGCGGCTTGGCTGTAAAATTTAGAAGACGAATACGACATAGAGTAAGTAAAATAAGAGAGGTGGCAATCATATGGGCGTCCTTGTTACCGCGTTACGCAGGTAGCGCTGCAACTGGCTGACCGGCGACTGAC